GAGCAGGTCTACTCTAAGCACTCACCATGAGGCAGATACTATCATCTCCATTGCACAGAGTAATGGAGGCATCGAATGGATAAGTTAGTTGCTCAAGAACAATGGTAATCTTGGAGTGTATGGGAATGTTAAGGTGAAACCTATTCTTTGTACAATTAACTATGTTAATTTTTAAAAAAAGTATTCATGGAGGAACTGAGATTTGGAATCAAGCAGTTGGAATTCAGAATCCCTTATCATGCACAGTGCATACCACCTGTCTTGCAAAAGGTGGAGAGATGGTGGAAAGAAGGAGAGAGATTGGTGAAGGGACACTATGGCATATACTGCCCAGTGCCTTTGCCTATGTTGTTATCTTTTCTCCAATTGTTCTTTATTGGTGGCCTCATTTAGGATATCCATTGCCTCATGTGCCACATGGTCAGTTTTGATAACGAAGATCTGAGCATAAATAAACTGGATTTAATTATTGTGAAAAACCTGTATTGTGTCAACTTCCCTGACAAACAGAGAGGCTCAGCTGGCACCTGCTTTTTCTTTTTCTCTTTCCCTTCTTTCTTCCTGAAGTGGAATTATCTACTAGGGAAGGTTGACTAGCCAGCCTGGAATGGATGCTGCATGATAACTACATACAAAGGAAGGCAGAACAGAAATCAGAAGAAAACTGGTGTTATTCTGGATCCATGTCAATTCTGCATTGGCCACTTATGTAACTTTCTGTCTGAGAAAAGCAAACCCCCATTTAGTCAAGCTATTAAAAATACAGTCATATCTAATCTTAAACAATAAAGACTGCGAAAATAGAAGGAAAAAAAAACTGATTTCAAAAAACCATATTGCCTCAGTCTGATACCATGAGTGGTGGGTGCAGGTACAGCTCTAGGTAACACACACTTCACTGTGTGGGGTTGTGTTGTTCCAGGCAGCATAAGTACCTGGGCACAGATCTTTCTCCACAAGTATTAGCAGATATGATTTAGATTTGACACTTCAACAGGGATTTTGAAAACTGTAGTCTGCTGATCATATTCGACCTGTGGCCCACTTTTATAAAGACTATGCGCTATGAGATTTTTTTTTCTATTTTTAAAGCATTTTTATAAATCAATATACAATATACAATCTAGACCCTTTATAAATCAATATACAATATGCAATATAGACCCTCTGGACCTGGAAAACCTAAACATTTACTATCTGTTCTTTTACAGAAATTTTGCTGAACTTTGAAGAAGGATAAAACAACATAAGTTCAATGCAAAAATTCTAACAGCTATCCAGGTTGCAAATGTTACACCCCCCCCCATTTCCTCTTCAAGTCCATTTTTAATTCTCCTATGTTAGCCATGAGTCATTTTGTACAAAACATGATCTGTAACTGAAGAATTCTCTAAATGGTTCTTTGAAAGGTGATAGTGCAAGATAATAGGGAAAAAGGACAAACAGCATAGTTAATACCATCCTGACTTAAAAAYGAAATATTATACTTATTAAAGTATAATAAGATGAGATTCACAGGAAATATCTACATCTGCTGAAACTGAGAGGAAGCGTCATTAAGCATTCCAAAGAATAATCCTGTAAAGAATTAAATTTTGAATACCTCAGAATAAAAGTGCCTTTCTAGAAGGACTTCTTTGCCACAGATGGCAACCAGCTTTTACTTCACACATAACCATTTCCAGTACTTACTGTCCTTCTGGCTGTACACAACACCAACCAACAACCGTGGGTTGAAAGCAATGAATAGAAATATGGGAATTTTCCTGATTTTCTATTCTCATTGTCTCATAAAACCTAAAGACAGTGCTGACCATTGTTTAGACGACTGAAAAAATATTTCAAAGAATGAACAGCAATAAAAACTTTCATTTTAATGGCCACAAATAAGTTCTCCTACTTAATAATAAGGTTACAAATTACTAAAATTTTCCAATTTCATATTTCAGATAATTCACCCCTACGTGCAATTAGCTTAGTGGCAGATCAACCTCAGAAAAGAAAATTCTGAGTATATTGCTGTGAGTGAAAGAGATCTACCTCAGGGATCCTAGAAAACACTCCTAAAGCCACATAGAGAGGAGGAAAATACTCAGTTCCTTTAATGTATAGGGTTTCTTGTCTTTCTGCATGTATGTTTTCTTCTAACGCTTCACAGTCATCAGTGTTTCACAAATAAAGCTTTTCCTCTTCTCCAACAATGTCCATTTATTTCCTCTTAGAATGTTGTCTCTTCAGAGCTTTTACTGTGTCATAATAAATTCTAGGCTGGATTGGTCTTTCCTTTCATTTTAAAGGCTAAGTACAATTCGTGAAAATAAATACATTTCATCAGCTGGTTTCCTCTAATACTTTGTAGATACAACATCCTTTATCTTCAAATCAAAGATGATAATATACTTTTGTTCATATAAAATTACCCTTCATAACAATCATTCTTCAAAGTTTCCCATTTTTAGTACTTTCACATCAAATGTATACATTTATGCAATTATAAAATTATGCAATTATTTTGTACAGCTCAGTGATAAGTGCATATGAATATCATAAAGTAACACATTACAAAGCTCTGTGATTAGAGATAATGGTAATTGTCAACATCTGGATTGAAGAATTTGAATTTGAAAAGTCTGATATTTTTCATACAGCTTTTCTTTCTATGCTTGTCCATATTTCAGTTAATACTGACTGAAATCATTTATCTGGAAGAAGTTAATTCACTATAAATCTAAACTGCTATACAGTTTGGAGTAGAATAATAGCTATTTCTCTATCTTTGTTTGGTGACTGCATTGAGTACATAGTTTCTTATGCCTTCTCTAGATCACAAAACCTCTCCTGCCTGATTCTCCTACGGTCCACCTGTTTAGCACAAAGGCAACATTACTGTCCTCTATCTTTTTTCCACATGCGTGAAGGGGATTCGCCTACATATATTATTATGCTGCCGTTTCTCTATCCTTTTGCTAAGTGCCAGTCAGAGGTGCAAAGCATTCCCCTTCAACCTGACCTTCTCACAAACAGATTTCACAAATGTATCTCATGCCTCTGTTCTTTTTCCCAATCACAGAATTGATAGGATTATCTGGGAAGAGGGCAAAGCTACACTATACTTTTGCAGTATTTGAAGTTACTCTGAGTGTACGGTGACATCTCCTCCTTGGAGCTAATGAAGAGAGAATTCTTAGATGCCACTTGAATAAGGAGGAGCTAAGGCTTAAAAAGGGTTATTCTGCTGAATATGGTCCCATTACTTATATAATTCATGGCCATATTCCTGATTATTTTTGTCTTCTCACATTTCTTTACCACCTACACCCATAAACACAATATTGGAAATCTCCATTTTTCACACACTATTAAGATATAATGTATATTCCATAAAATATACCTGCTTAAGATATATATATATATATTCATGTTTTTGAATAAAGTAAGAGTTGTGCAAAAATCACTACAACCTAATTTTAGAGATTTTTCTTCCTCCCTCCAAAACCTCATATTTATTAATTCATTCCCCATTCCTTTTCTAACCACTGCTCCACATTCTGTTCTACAAATTTGCCTACATGGGATCTTTCATCTGAATGAAATCATAAAATATGCTCTGTCTCTCTCTTTATTTTTTTACTAACCCCTTTTCTTAGAATAATGTTTTTATGTTTCATTCATAGCATCTAGGAGTCATTCATTACTTTATRTCCAAATAACATTCATTATGAATTTATAAAATTTGTTTTATCTATTAGGATTTTTCTAATAATTTTTAATTTTATTATTTTTTTTCCTCTTATTATGTCCAGAATCAGATCTGTGGTATAAGGAGCCTAGGGAAGGTTTCCAGAATTAAGCTGGAGAAATTGGTAAAAAAAAAAAAAAAACTATAAATGTTGTAAATAACTACAACTTATCCTATGGAAGAAGTAATTGGCTCAAGGTAAAGAGAAGCAATTAATATAATTATTTAAATACTTAAGTGTTTAAAAACTTTAAAGAAAAAATTTAAAATTTAAAGAAAATTAACAAACATTGCCTGTTTCCTTATGGCAAGGTGTTTATCAAATATCTTGTCTGTAAAACTTCTATACAAGTAGATAAAAATGAAAAATAGAGCCAATAATTGTTTTCTCTACAAAATCAAGCAATAATGATGATGGGTTTTCCTCTTCACTTTGACCTCACAGAACTATGTAGTTACTTTGGGGGATGATAATGAGATGTATGCATATCTGGTCATAGGAGGAACACAAACTGATAGTGGAATTGTTAGAAATAGCCATATGAAAATTTAGAGAATTATTCATATTCCAAAGAATAGGTAAACATTAAAGAACTGTGACATATTTATCTATGGTTATATTATGCATTTATAATTTTGTCGTAGTGTTATTTCCAATGTGGGCAAAACCCTAAGTAGTCTCCAGGTTATGGTGGTACAAGTCCAGTTAGGATGTACATATACCAAATGTTTCTGGATCCCATATGGGAGCAAAAGTCATCACAGTAAGAATGGATAAAATTTCTGTTTTCATGTAAAAAAGAAAACAGACTCGAAAGTTGTGTTGTACTTTTATATACTGATAGAAATATCGTGAGAGTTAAAGTTTGATTTCCTTAACATTCCTTCTTCATTTCTCTCTGTCTAAAGATATGTGAAATGAATGATTGGAGAAGGTCCATTTTATTCCTATGTTTTAAAGGTCTTTCTTTCAAGTAAAAAATTTCTTTATTTCTTTTTTTTTGTGTGTGTGTTAACATAACCACATTGTAGCAATTAACCTGGTGTTTTCATAAAATAATTCTTATCAGAAAACTGCATTTTATGCTCTTCCTCACATACTCATTTTAAAGAACATAAACAAAAACTTCCAAGTTTCTTAGGTTGTTTGGAAACAACAAAAAAAGAATCAACTAGAACAGCAGTCATCCGTGAAAACAACTGACATTTAGTTTCACAGGGAAGGTAAACCCGAACATGGCACAGGAACCTTTCTACTCACAGGTATCTAAAGACTCGTCTGAATCATCAGGGCAGTCGGGGTCCCCATCACACAGCCAGCTCTGGGAGACACAAGTCACGTGATCGTGGCAAAGAAACTCACCAGGATCACAGGACTGCTGATCTGAAAATGAAAAATGTTTCAAAATAAAATATGAATGATCTGAACATGAACACAAGAGCAGTACAAAGATGAAATGTGAGAAAGCAATACTTAAAAGGTACATGAGTATGATCCACATTTTCTATTCGGCAGCAAAGCAAAATCAATTATTTTTCTTAGTTTTCACTGCTCAGCTTAAGCACACTATTTTGAAAGACTTGACTTCATTCTAGGTTCACACAATCTGTTCTGAAAATAGTTAAGAATTCTGTTTGTGTTTATGACTATAGGCTTTATCATATCAAATATGCCATATAGATGTTCCAGCCAGTGAGTTTTGAAGAACATGTTGAAATAAAGCAGAAGCTTTTGAGCAGAGAAATTTTAGTTTTTTTTCTCTGCTCCCAGAAAAATAAAAATCAGTAACGAGTTAAATATTGTAATTAAACTTCATCTCTAAATATTTAGTTCTTAACTATCCATCTTAATATAGGGGCTTCATGTGTCTACACGAATTGGACATCCTACATTACAGAATTTTCTTCATTTTTTTCCCTTAACTTCTAAGGGGGAAGCATTTGCCCAAGACACCCCAAATGACGATAAATTTCCATAAAACTTTTCCTTTTTCCTAACTTCCCTTTTCTACTGCTAATTGTTTCTGAAATACCTGTCATTTTTTTCCTCCCGGTGTTAATGAAATATTCGGGATTTGCAGCTTTTCCTTAAGTCCTAGTAAATTCATTAGATGTCTGTTTTTCACCATATATTTATTCATATGTTGTAAGTCCATTAGAAAACATAACTCTTTTACTATTTTAATATGAATGAATGAATGCCTCTGAATGTGAAAATATGTTACAAGTGCCTTGACCTTTTGATTTCACTTGCAATTTTTTATATATGTATGATATATAGCTCAATACAAATATAAGATAAAAAATCATCATTAAATAGGTCTATGTGAGCCTATCAATAAGTAGCAAAGAAACATTTTAAGTGACAAAACGCTGGGCATACTAGAGGGTGGCTGAGACAGGGGGATTGCAAGTTCAAGGCCAGCCTGAACAACTTTGTGAGATCACCCGAAAATTAAAAATTGAATGGTCCAGAGAAGTAGGCCAGTTGTAAATCCCCATAGGTTCAATCCCCAAGACCACTAAATAATTTTTTTTTAATTCTAAGTGATTAGAAAGATTAGGCCATGGCTTAATTGACATTTTCTCTAGCAATATACAAAATAATAATGTATCATACTAAATATTGTCTTAGTTTTAACATAATGTTAGATCTTTTGTCAAACTCTTCTGTCCCCCATACCTGAAGAGCCTGACTTTCAATAATATATCACACAAAGACACACAGAAAAGAATCTTTCATCTACAGATATAAGTAGATATCTATAGATAGCTAGAGAACTCTAGTTCAAGATGATTGGGCTACGTAGGTGAGGACTCAGCTAAAGAGTTTGTTCCAGAYGATGTAATGTAAGAGTTAACAATTGGTAAAAATGTTTGAAAGGCTTAAAGAGTTCTCCAAGTAAATAGCCTTAAAAATGATTAGATGGTGTCTCAAAACCAGGATAGAACACACAGAGAGGAAAACACAAAGACTACAAGGGTATGTACACAAGGATCTGAGTGATATCATGGTGTGAATTGGAAAGATAATAGAAGGAATCATAAAGGGAATAATATTTTACAGTGATAGCTATCAAGAAGCACTTCTACCTCCATATCTTCATTTGCTCATTTGTTTATGCCACAAATATTATTGAACTTCTATTATTTTTTAGCATTGTGAAACATGACGAAAAATAATAGGCAGAATTCCTGCTGTTATGGAGCTTTTATTACAGTGGGGCAAAAGCAAAACAAAATAAATGAGTCAACTGTATAGTATATTGGAAGATAAACTCTATGGAGAAAAGTAAATGGAAGATGGAGATTAAAAGATGCAGATCAGTCCTTAAGCATAATTTACACAAGATGGCCAGAAAATATGTTTCAGAGAATGTATCATAGTGAGAATAGACGCTTATAAAGTATCAGAGTGATATGCATTTGAGTATAAGACCATGTGTTAAAGATCATGGGCTAAGGACCAACACAAGGATTTGCACAGAAAATAGAAGAGACTCTAAAGAGGTCAGTGTGGTGGGATAAAAAGAGAATTTAGGAAGAGGCAAGATGAGAGAGTATGGGGTTGGGGCTGTAGATGAAGACTTGGTTACTTAAAAATCAAGATGGAGACAACTGGAAGATTCTGAGCAGAGTGACACAGTCTGATTTACTGCTTCAAAGGATCGCTTTGGCTATTGTTTTGAGAGCAGATTGTATTGAAGTAAAGGTGGAGGTAGGGAAATCAACTAGGGTGTTACTGGAATAATCTAGGTGAGTAAAGATGTTGAGTGTATAAATATGTTGATGGAGTGGAAAGTTAATATTGTATTTTATGAGTAAACCGAAGTCAAATATTGTGTATCCTGTCTCATTAAATGGCAGAATCCTGAATTTGGTGTTCTGAACCCAAATGTTAGAATTTCAATCTCTTTTTAAATGTACCAAATTGGGGATGCTTTGGAGATATCTATAAGGGATTATACAGTGAAATATTTAAGTTTAAAATTCAGGAGAATGATCAATACTGGAAATAGAACTGGGGGCTGAAAAAAAATGTAAGCTATAGGAATTAAAGTTAGATGAAGTTAAAGTGAGGACAGAGACATGTGAGGAGGATGACTAGACTGTCAAGAGAAAAAATCCAAAAGTAAGAGTAGGTGAGACAAAGTTCATGCATAATTAAAGAATGAATAGCAAGGGGAAAGGACATTTACTAATGCCCCGTGCAATTTCAAGAACTGAATCAGGGAAGGTATCACTAATAGCAAAGTTCAAGTGCAGTGAATTCTGATCAGACAGAGTAGATGTGCATGCTGAAAGAAAGGTGCCTCTGGAGAGAGTCAAGAGGCATTAGAAGGAGATGGAAATGGAAGAAGAGTTTGTCCGAGTACTCTTGTCGATGCAATACAAACCTAAACAAGAACATAAGTTGTTATGAACGACCAATAAAAAAAAAAAAAAAAAAAAAGAAAAAAAAAAAAAAAAATAAAATAAAATAAAATAAAATGGGACATGATGGTTAAAAAAAAAAAAAAAAAAAAAAAAAAAAGAACATAAGAGCATTTGCTCCGAGGATGAAAGAATAGAAAAATGAAATGGTGGATAAATCATTAAGAAAAAATTAAGATATTTTCTCTGATTATATTTTCTAAAGGAACCAAGATGCAGAATTAATTTCTGACATGAGGACCAAAGAACTGGAAAGGGTGGTAAAATTTCAAACACTTGTTATAGAAGTGGTATTAGGAATCCACTAGGAATTGTGAGAGGATTGATTTCTTTTTAATTTTTTTTAATTTCTTTTTTTTAGTTGTCAATGGACCTTTATTTTATTTATTTATACACAGTGCTGAGAATCTAATCCAGTGCCTCACACTTGCTAGATAAGCACTCCACCCCTCAGCCACAACCCCAGGCCCAAGGATTACCTTCTAATAGCAATGAACATACAGCTATCATTGACAATTTGACAATTAAGTGCTCATTTTATTTTGATTGAATATCTATATGTTAACCTAAGTTGAGCCATAGATACAAAACAATCCTCAGGAAAAATCCTTTGGGAAAATTTGCAAGCCATCATTCTCAATAGGTACTCCCCATACATAGACATAAAAAAAGTCGCTGTAATCTAAAAGTAACTTTTGTTTTTGTTATAGGAGTAAGGTACACTTAAGGCAATTTACCTAATGAGCCTGTATTATCAGCTTGCTAAGCAAGCTTCAATCTTTAAAAACAATTTGCATTGTTGCAGTTTGGGGGACAGTTTTATTTATCCCTTTAGGAAATAACGGTTGAGAAGAGCTTACTATAACACATCTGTTTACTTTTCAAACAGATATTCCATTTCAAGGTCAGTTTTAAAAAGCATTGCTTATAGTTTGAAATGAGCAAATTTTTGCTACTCTGAGATGCTTATTTAAAAATATATTCACTGGATTGAGTTCTTTGAGTCAAAAGCAAAACATGTAGGATGTATGTGTGTTTTCCATTTATCCTATTTAATGCTTCAACCCACATTTTTGAGATAGTACAACTAATCTCATTTTAAATGTCTTCCTATTATATGAAACACAGTGTTTTTACACTGTAATTAAAACAAGAAGCTTATGAGAATGCGAAGTTTTACTTACATCCCTAAGGAAGAAAATCAAAGCTAGTACCATATTTATCTCTTATAATAGGTTCTTGCAATCAAAAACATGAAAAGATTGGGACAACCATAGCCTATGGAGTTTACTGAGTTTGGATTCATTCTGGCAAAGGAAAAGCTTAGTATTGATAATCTTTCTATACTTTTATTAAAACATCTAATTATTTTTTAATCATAATTTACAATGAATATTTTGTACGTTTAACATACATGGTTGTAACTGAAAGATTTTGTATATATAAATTGCCACCGAGTAGCTAATTCATATTTTCTCTTTTTAATATAAGAATGAACTATTCATTTTGCTCTTTTCGAAAACAGTAACTATCAAACTTTGAAGCATCTTTCAATAGGCATTTATTAAATAACTATGTCTTCCATATCCTTGAATATTTCACCATAATTAATTCTAATAATTTTATATCAATTCTTTCAAAAGTTGACTTTTTGTTATTCCTACTGGGAATGATAGTTTACCAATAAATTAATTATAAGTCTATTGAATCATAATAGTGCACTTTAAGCAAATTTAAAGGAAATAAAAGTGATGCATCCTGCTAACTATTTACAAATTAAACATAAAGGAGGGATTCATATGCATTCAACAAATAAATTCCTAGGGACTCAGACTAATGATGTTAAAAATATGTTTAAGAATAGGAAGTTAAATAATTGGTACAGAATTAAGAACAAGTGAACTATTAAGGACATGATTTGACTTATGCTTTCAGCATTTAGTTAACATT